AAGCTGCTTCCTTGATATGGGAATACTGGATCTGAAACCGGGAATAAAACTGACTTGGCAAAGATATTTTATTTTGGGAAAACCATTTGTCAAGATTGACAGGCTCCGGACACGAGGTTTCTTTGGAGGGTGATGGAAATATTCTAAAATTAGAACATGGTGAGGGTTGTATGCTCTGTCTTGATACCAGCACTCACTGAATTGTACACATCCAACATAGGAAGTGTGTAATATGTAACATCTCAGCGTAGGTGTTTTAAAATATGAAACATTGACAAACTCTGCCATGAATAACTCAATCTGATGTGTGTGTTTGTAGCATAGCAGAATGGGTGTTAAAGTTAAGCAATTCAAAGTTGCTTTTGCTGGTGTCAAAAATAGCCTTCTTTGGAGGTAGCTATGTTGCAGAAATGCTGAATGTGGAATACTAGGGCTTTTCTGTGCCTTTTAAGAAGTTAAAGTATTTAGGTTAGTAGGAAGATTTAAGTGAAATCATGAGCACATACATGTATGCATGCATGCATGTGCATGTCTACCTTTCTATGTCATATGTGAATATGAGTCAAGTATTTTGAAGCCTGGCCAGAAATGGTCCAAACATTTTCATGTTCGACTCAGCAGCTTATATAAATAGAATCATAAGCAAAAAATGTAATTGATACCCTTACAGATAAAAAGTATTCCCCTCACTCCTTGATAGAGACAGCTGGCATGCTGAGCTTTTCTTCTCTACTTTGGGCTCTTTGGAAACCGTTCTGGGCTGGGCTTTTTGCCGAATTGACATAAGTCTTTGCCCTCCCTTCCTTTTCCTTTACATAGGCATAAAGTATGGCATCTAATCATAGGCAAAAGCATGCCCTTGTCCCTCCCTGGCTTACATTGCTCCATTGGCCACCATTTCTTGAAGCTAAAGATCCAGGGATCTGATAGTGCAGCCCAGGCAGTCTGGCTGTCTTAATGCAGAGACAGAATGGAGCTGACCATCTTCATTGCCCCTTTCACCAATTTCAGGATTCTGTGTGTGTCCCATTCCACCATTTTGTGCAGTGTCCCAGATTGGGCCACCCAAGAGAGGGTGGGCTTTTCCTGTTCCATTTTCACAAAGGCATGTTTCTATTCCGATCTGCTTGGCAGGTCAGACTTGGACTTTAGCAAGTACTTCCAAAAACCACATGCATCTGAGAAGGCCCAGCATTAACCAAGACAGTGCCCCAGGTGGCTTCAGGTAAAGAACTTTTGGGACACATGCCCAACCCTCCCACTTTTTTCTGGAGGCAAACAGCATACTAATTAAGAACCATAGTCTTAAAAGTATTTGCTCTTAGCCCGTCCTTCAAAAAAGAACCCCAGCTTTCCTCTCAAGCCCCCAGGCCTCCTGCTTATGAGGGAGGGAGGCTGTGACCACAGGGCCACCCTCTCTCTCCCCTGCTGAGTTCTATCTTGGAGGCCAGGAGGCTAGGAAGCAGACACACAGATAAACAGAAACTAACCTGAAGAGGAAACATTTAGTCTGGCCTCCCCTTTCATTCCCTTGCTCCTGGCAGCATGACATTGTTTGCCTCGAAATGGCGGGCAGACATTTGCTCTTGACCTTCTGGGTGTCAATGCTGTAGCCAGTAGGTAACTTTACTCTGCTGCCTTTGGGGGTTGATTTCATTTTACTAATGCCATGATTTTTAATAACAAGTTGACTGTCCCTAATTGAAAATCCTGAAATCTGAACTACTCTAAAATTTAAAACTTTAGGGTTTAAAAAAAAAAAAAAACCGTAAGACCACAATTAGAAAATCTGCTCCCTGACCCTGTATACAAGTAATAAAAGCACTGCATTAATGTTACTATGAGGAAAAGGCATTTGTGAAACATAACTGAATTCATGTTTAGACCTGAATTGCATCCCTAAGATCTGTCTATCGACGAAATACCCCTGCACACATTCTCAAAAAAACAAAAACAAAAAAAAAAAAACTATTGGTCCCAGGCATTTCAGCTAAGGGTCACTCATCTTGAGTCAAGTCTTCTTGGCTTCTCATGGGAACAGAATTCTTATCTGAAGTTCTAACCTGTTTAGTTTTAAAAAGTGGCTTTCTCTTTTTTCATCTGGGGATTTTACAAACACATTTACTTCTTAGTTAGATTTCGTGATTGCATCACATTTTAAACAGTGCTTGAAGCACACATGAGTGGTGCCAGATAAAAGTAGAGACTGCCCAGCGAAGCTGTAGATAAGCTACAAATGTTTAGATTAAGTCCTATGTAATATTTGGTTGCATACTTACACCAAATAACAATTTTCTATCTGCAACACAGATTTAACAATATGGTGTATTTTTATTTGTAGTTGTACTTTAGACTATTTGCCTTAGTTCTGTTTGCAGGCTACTTGTCTTTTAAGATAGCCAGTTTCCTTGTCTGAGACTTGTCAGGGAAAATGATGTTTTGAGTGTGCTAATGGGTCACAGGACATAACCAGGTGCTATCAAGTAGGGCCATGTCCATTGGGGAGTCATTTATTTGTTTTTTTATTTTGTTTTTAATTTTTTTCTCAGATTTTTTTTAATTTGAATTAGAAACAAGCTTGTTTTACATGACAATCCCAGTTCCCTTCTCCCTCCCATCCTCCCCTACCACCACCCCCAACTAAAACCCTACCTATCACATATTGGGAAGGCATATATTTTAGTAAGCAAAACTGTATGAGACCTGGGCCACTAAAACTCAGTCCCTTCTACAGAAACGACAGGTTTATATATCTTGGTAAATGCTTCCCAGTGTCTATGTGAACTGCTTCCAGGCTAATGATCCAATATCTGTATTTCCATGAGTGATATAGAAATACTACTCACTCATTCTAAGACATATTTCAGATGAGACATTTTACTATTTTAAGCAAACCTTAAATATTAAAGTCATGTTGTGGATGCATTTTAAGAAATGAATTCTTAGGCAATGTTATCATTGTACAAACATCTTAGAGTATAATTATACAAAGCTAACTGATTGGGGTTCCTGCATACCTGGGTTGTAGGGTATAGCTTCTAGCTATGAAGCTATGTGCTCTGTGACTTTATTAAATCTTTCCTGGCTCAAAAGTTTGCTTGGAAGAAAATGACTAAGATATTTGTATAAAAGAAGAGAGAAAGGAAATATTCTGCTGATGATAAACCTGTTGGCAGGCTGTGCAAGTGGAAAATGCAGGGTGTCAGCCCAAAAGCAGACAGATGTTCGGAATTGATGAGTAGGAGGTGTGTGGTGTGTATATGTGTGCACTCGTGCGTGCATGCGTGTGTATGTATGTGAAGGGATTAATGTGTGCACAACAACCTAGAGCTGGAAAAAGCAAGGATTGGATGGCAAATTGTGCTGTAGTTTGCAAGTTATTTATTGACCTAAGGCCCGTGTTAAGGGTTTGCTCTCCTGGGAGTCACTGTTGGGCGGGTAGAACCTTCTAGGGGCCAGGCCTAGGGAGAAATGTTTTAAGTCTTTGAGGGTCTCCTATATAACAGAAAAACCTGTTAGTCAGTTTTCTGTTAATATCACAAAATTACTGAGATAATAAGAAAGAGGAATCGTTGTGGCTCACAGTTTCAGAGGTTTCACTTCATCGTCAGTTGCCCTACTTCTTTGGGTTTGTGGCAGCATAGTACTCCACAGCAGAAGCACATACCAGAGGAGGCAGGGTACCAAAACCATATGCAAAGGCATATCCCATGCCCTACCACTCTGACACCTTGGTGAAGTCAGTGTGCTCTTTCTAAGCCATCTAGGTGATTGGGTAGGAAGGACTGAGTGAGGGTATTTAGCCAGGTTTCCCATGTCCTGGTTTATGGACAGCCCCAGTGCACTGGGGATAGTGATTGACATCCTTGTGCTACCCATGTCCCTGCTGTGAAACTACACCCATGCCTGGAAGAGCAAGAACTCAAGCATACCAGGCTTACTTTTGGGATACGGTTTTGACATTATGATTGTGTGAAAGCAATATGCATTAAGCACAGGCATTTTGAATTTTAAACTTGGATCTTTTCCTGAACTAACGCTGTGTAGTATGACGCCGTCTTTCTATGCGGGGTAGTGAATATGAGTCACAGTTCCTGCTGAGTTGAGCCTCGTCGTTGTCACAAGATAAACAAGAAGTGCGCCATGTCCCAAGTACAATGTGGAGTTGGCTGGATGTGTTCAGTGCACTTTTCGCCTCAGATACTGTGCATTTATGATGAATTTATTGGGGTATGTTCCCACTGTAAGAGGGAATCTGCGCTCTGCTTGAGTATATATTAATAAGTAAACTTAAATGAACACACTGTGCTTTTAGCACAGTTCAAAACCTTTCTAATTGCAGAAGTCGTATATGTTTTCAAAAATGTTCAGATTTTACAGATTTCTAAGAGGTTGTTAACAAAAGTTAGTCACTGCTCTTTTTTTGTAAATGTGCGGATATAAAGTGGATTATTTCTATCTATATTTTAATGTCTCTTTCATTGGCTTGAGGTGGTTCTATGAAGATATTTTTTTCTCAAATTTTGGATCCCTGTTTGAATTTCTGCCTAAACCTTTGTCTTCATTCGACATGCCACTGAGCTTCCCATCCTTTGTTTGTGAGGAACTCTTTACGATCACTCTCTGTTACCCAGGAAGTCCAAGACTGCTTACCCAGCAATTCCAGAAAGTGCCGTGTGCTTCATAGAGTGTTGATTATTGACATTCATTCCCCGAGCTGAGCAGTCAGCAGTTGTCCTTTTTAAATTACCATTCAGGGAAATCTACAACAAAAATAAAAGGGACACCTTCTGACTCCCTTGACAACGGATTTCCATTTGCATTGATCGGTTTCCCTTCCGTGGCACATTTTCAACTGTCACTTAAAATTATGAAAAGGGAATAAATAAATAAATAAATAAATAAATAAATAAATAAATAAATATAAATAAATAAATAAATAGAAAGGAAAGAAGAAACTGAGCAGGAGGAAGTGGTGGTGGGTGCAGTACCTCCTTTCATTCTTGTTATCTTCTTTTTAGGACAAAGTGGGGCAGTCATCTTCTAAACCACAAAACCTAACCCGGACTGGGTTTTCATCTCAATCAAGAAGCCAACCAGGTAAGAACTGACTATAACTGTATGCAGCTACGTGAGAACTTCATAATGGTTCTTGTTATCCCTGAGGTTCCAGGATCCCCTGTAGATAAAAAAATGTGGAGGTGACTGAGTCATTGGTATAAAATATATTAAAACCTGGAACCTGTGCTCATCCTCCATGTACTGTGCATCATTGTTAGAATGCTTATCATTCCTGATAAGAGTACAATGCCATTGAAACACTTGTCACACTATATTGTTTAGGGACACAGTGACACAGAGGGGAAAAAAATGTATCTTTAATATGGGTGAAATTTTTCCCAGTATTTTTATCTGTGCTTGGTTCAACCTATAAATGTGACTCCTGGGGGTACAGAAACCCAACTATGTATTCTAAAATGTTCTTACCATCAGTAAAATAAGATTCTTCCCTTTCTCTTACGGCCAGTAAGGTCTAACATACAAATCATTATATATTTTCTTTCAATGATCAAACTTCAATGAGTCAAAGGTTAAATTATGTTTTGTGTGAATTATCTAGGATTCACCTCTCATTTTGCAAGGGCTTTGAATCCGACTGAGACAACTGACCATTGCCTGTCGAAGTCCCTCCACATGGGGAGCCTCTCTTTTACCTTTTGAGGGTCCTTCGACCCTTGGAACTGCTGAATTTCTTTTGAGTAACCCCACAACAGAATCCTTTATATTTGGGCATTTTTTGTATCTTCAGTTATGCAAGTTTTGCATATGTGTACTCTTGGCATCTCTCTTCCCTTTTCTTTTTCTTTTTTTCTCCTTCCCTTATTTTATTCCTTCTATATTGTTAAATATCTGAGAGGGTCACTGTGGGGAAGAAGGAAATGTCTATAAATGAATATTAAATTAGCTTGGTAAGTTAGATCTAAGAAATGGAAACTGAGCAAGAATGAAGACTCAGCTCTGTTGTGGAACTGGAGAAAAGGCGCATGGCCCTTTTCGGGACTACAGGTAAGTCAGTGGAAGTCCAAGAAATCGTTATGTTTTCGAGATGGTAATTAGCGTAATCAGATTTTTTTAAATTGTTAATGAAAACAAGGATTACATTTAGCAAAAATACACACTGAGGTGTACCATGTAATCAAATAAATGTTTTCTCAAGCTTTGGGCAGCTCATAAAAGAGCCAGGATTGTCTGTAACGAATTCAGATTCACACTTCAGAAAAGTTTCCAGTGAAATAATATAAATGAAAGATTACCTGTTTGTCAGGACTGTTTTGAAATATAGGATAATTTTAACTCAATACACCACGTCGCTGACAAATGATCTCACTGAAATTGAGATATTTGAGGTCTTTGTGTTAATAATCATATATTATACACATATATAAGTCTATATGTAACCCTTTTATCATAAAATTGTAATCAAACTGAATGAATTCTCAAAAGCTTGTCTCTTATCCATTATCTTTACATTATGATGTTAACTACTCCACACACCGTGGGTAGAGATGGCTTCCTAAAGAGAGCTCTTTTCATGTAGCAGCAAGTGGAAACTAGGACTCCGATGTGTCACAGCACCTAAAACAGGGTTTAAATGAAAAAGGATCATGTTTGCATATTGAATTCAACTGTTTGTTGCCCTGAAGTTAGCTGTTGTTAGTCCTTCTCTTCACGTAACATGTAACGTAGGAAAAAGCAAGGGAGAACCAAAAAGGTGGGGGGGGGCATGGTGGTGCAACCATAGAACCAACAAAGACAACTAGAGATTAGCTCAAAGTAACGGAAGCCAAGAAAGTTCTAAAGGGAAGAAATAGATGCTGTAACACACCAAGACACTGATAACCAACTTGGGCACATTAAATGTCAGATAATATGATTTATTATCTGCACTGAGGGAAAGATAACTATCTGTCTAGAATTTTATGACAACGTATCCTTCCTAGTAAAGGCACAGTGGAACTTTTTCAACTAGTCCTTCAGAAAACGAGTTACTGGCAAGCTTCATTCAAAGAATGATTCGGGCCTGGAGAAACATAACCCAGTGGTAGAGCTCTTGCTTAGCTGGCACAGCTCTGGGTTTGGTTTCTAGCATGGAAAAAATGTTACCAAAAGTGCTACTTCAGGAAGAAGAATACGAACACTGAGAGGAACTGGAAATAGTGCAGTCTAGAGGGAAACCAAATGGTGTTGAGTGCAGTACCAAGCAAATGGTTGAAATGGAGACAAAGTGAACACCACATACTCAGATATTGGAAGTCTTTGGGGAGTGTGAATCAAACGTGAAAAGGCTCTAGTGTGGAGAAGTAAAATGTGGAGTAAATTGTGATCATAGAAAAAGGTAAACTTAATAATGCATTTGAAAATACTAAATGGAGCTACAAGTTGACTATACTTACTAAAAGAACACATATCTATAGTTTCTAAGTTAGAAAAAATGAGAATACATTTTTAAAAAGTCAAACAGTGTCATGTAGAAGAAGAAAAATAGGACATGAAAGGAAAAAATGAAGTCATGCAAAATATCCAAGCATATCCATAACAGTAGGCACAGACTCACATTCTAGATTCACCTCTAACCTTACACCCACCAGACACTCTAGATTCTTCTGTGAACCTGTGTAACTTTTTGAAAAGTTGACCATATATGGAAAGTTGCAGTAAATTTTAAGCAATCCATTTCATGCAAGCCTTGTTCTTTGACCTAGTGTGATTAAATCAAATGTCAACAGAAAGAGTTCAAAACAAAACATACAAATATGTTTGTAGAAACCCCTAATTTCAGTTATGGCCTACACAGGAAATCATGGTGGAAATACCAGTCATTTAGAATGGAATAGACATGAATACATGGCAACTAGAGAGTATGTCTTACTGCTGAAGTGGTACATAGAACTTAACTCCAAAAAGAAGAGTCATTGAAGCTAGAAGAGTGTAAATTGAATAAATCTAAGCAATTTCAAAGAAAGCAATTACAGAAATTAAAATAAGAAATCATTGAAATAAAAATAGAGCAATAGTGAAACCAAAGCTATTCTTTGGTGTTAATAAATACATAAAGAATATAAAGCAGTGCACAGACATGTATGAAAGCAAACGTAGAAAATTTTAAGCCATGAATGTGGAAATAGAGAGATTGGATAATGTATTGCAACAGGTAAAATCATATCTGTTCTTTAAATAGACAATTCTTTGTGTATGTGTGGTAACTAAAAGTGGGGGCGGGGACAGTCTTTCCTTTATTTGAATAAAGAGAATAAATGAGAAGTGAGAGTCTTCATGCTTTCAGGCTAAGACAAATTTTTTTACTAAATATTGTATAACCCTAAAGGTAAATGGTAAGTTTGCATATAAATGCATTTCTGTATAAATATAGCAAATCACATGAAACACTAAATGGTACTTCAGCCTGAGGTGAGGTGGTGCAATGCTTGTAACATACATATAGTATTATTGTATTCTCCAAAAAAAAAAAAAAAAAAAAAAAAAAAAAAAAAAAAAAAAAGGGGGGGGGGGGGGGAAAAGTGTTTAAAAAAAAAATATTTTTTTTTTAAACACTTTTCCCCCCCCCCCCCCCGGAAAAAAACCCTTTTATGTTTTTTTTGTTTTTTTTTTTTTTTCCCAAAAAAAAAAAAAAATTTTTTTTTTTTTTCCAAAAAAAAAAAAAAAAAAAAAAAAAAAGTCAAATAGCAAAGGTAGCAACGAGCCTGGACAAGTGATTTGCAGAAACATCAAGCATGCTGTCTTCCTTCTGATTCTGGACACTCATTTCACATGAAAACTAAGGAAACCAACTGAGTGGAAATCAAGGAAGCCGATGCTCCGAGGGAGGTTTCGGGGAACACAAGGGCACAGTCCCTCTTTCAAGTGTGTCCAAGTGCAATGTTCATCTTCCCTCTTGGCACACACACAGCACTTGGGAGTCTGTGGTGAGCAGGCCTGGGGTGTGCAGCTCTCTGGCAGTGCAGTACAAAGGCCGTTCCCTTCCTGGGAGAGAGTGGATCAGCTTGTCTCCAGGCAAGCATGGAGCCCCACAGGAACATGCAGGGGGCCTTCCTGGTGCCTTTCCCCAAACCATTGTCTTCCCCTCCCATATGCCCAGAACCAAGTTTAATGTATGAGGTTATTTTTAAGAAGCTTTCTTGGAATATTTGCCTGAATAGGACCAAGACACCATACTGTTCCTTCTTGCTTCCTAATTTCTGATAACAGACTTCAGGATTGCACATATGTGAGGCCCAGAGTTGCCAGTTCCTTACAAGGGACCTAATGTATAGAACAGATTAGCTGTGCCTTTCCTTGACCTCTTACTTCTCTCTGGCAAAGAGGATTTGTCGTTCCTGTTTGATTATCTCATTCCTAACATAAGCTGCTTATTTTTACATGGCAGTTGCTAAAAACACTTCATGTATTTCTTAGCAGTACCAACAGGAAGGGCCACACTTTCCATTGAAAATGGCTCATTTTCTAATACTTAACAGTACACTCAACAATTTCTAAGAAGTACTTCTTCATTGTGGAAATATATATAATAAACTTATCATTCTAACCATCGTTAAGTATATAATTTAATTTTATTCAGTGTTTTACAACCATCATCATTATCTATTTTCAAAACTTTCTTAACACCACAGAAACTCTGAGCCAATTAAGCAATAAGTCCTCCTACCTCTTGTAACCTCAAGCCTATGTGCTGTCTTTCTGAATTCCAAGGTTTGTCTAAATTAGCTTATATTATTGCCCTGTATCTTATATTACTAAACAATACTCTGCTATGTTGGCTTCCATTTGCCTCTGGATGGACATTTATTTGATATGCTTCCACCTTGGGCTCTTGCCACCATTAGCATGGAAGTGTCTAAATCTCTAGATTTCATGTCTTGTGGGTTTATACTTAGGAATAGAATTGCTGGAATTTTCCTTACTTCCATACAAATGCCTAAGCACCTTTGTTAGAGTCAGGATGTAGGAAAGCCATCTCTAGTTCTTTTCCCACAAAATCTCTAATGTCTACATTCCTTCTACACTGTGGAAAATGTGAAAAG